CAAACGTGTATTGACACAAAAATCACATACTGGCCATTTGGTGGTTAGAAAGACAAGAAACATCACCATTTTACTAGATTATCAGCATCAGATACTCTAGTTATATATTTTCTTATAAACATTACATAATTGTCATAGAGCATCTCTTGATAGGATCATGTCATACTATTGTTCTGGAAAGATTAGCTCATATGTTTAGGTGACAGAGTCCTGGTGTTCTCTAGAATCTAAATTGTAAACTTTGACATTCAAGGAACTTTGAGCTATAGGGTTTTGTATGCGTAACATTTATCTCAGTGTTTGGCATACAGTATGTGCAGAGTCTTAAGTCTTAAGTGTTTGACAACCCAGACATGTCAGGAGAGGGATTTGTTTGCTAGTTTGGGAGGAATTTTTGAGGTCCTCATACATTTCACACAGAGCTGAGGAAATACTAAAGAACACAAGTCTAAATGAGTTTTTGGAAGCTTTGTGCAGAGGTGTGCAGGTTCTATTCCTCCTTTCACAATTTCCACAGCTTGAAGAGAGAAAGAAGGCAACGGTTCACTGCCTTATGATCTTTGAAGTCCAAGTAGCTACATTTCTCTTGCAGTGCCTCCCTGATGCTCTCTGTACCTACAGTCTCTCCTGCCTTACCAATCTACAGATAACTTCCTCACAGCAACAACTTACAGATATGGCCAGAGGGGCTACATCTTGCAATACATGCAATCTTATTTGGTACACAAAGTACCATCACACATCTGTTTCAATTCATCAATTGAAGGTGCTGGCCAAGCTACATTAAACAAATCATCACCACTACAATATTTGCATAAAATGGGGGACAAATCTTTTACTGAAGATGTCACATTTTCCTAAAGCATGCACAGTGTCTAATTTTTCTTACTGATATTCTGTTATCTGTCTTGAGTGGCAAAGGAGTTTGTTTCTTTAAATGTAAATGCGCTTGGTCTAAAAACAGTCTTATTTTCCTCTATTTTGGAATCTTTACTATAACACAATAGTACTGTTATGAATACTAGTAATCAAAATCTAGCAATGAAAAGCATCTTAAAAGGCCATCCACTCCTGTCCTAGGCAAGTTTCTAACAAACTCCTTCAAAATAAATGGAACATTTATACCTAAGACTCACAACATATAGCAGGTCAGGGAATAGAGAAGACTATTAATGCATCTCTCAACTCTTACCAGTGAAGCTTCCTCGTACAACAGAGGGTAATTAACACAGAAAGTCACAACTGGTCAAAATGTAGAGAATAAGAGACTGCAGAGTGCATGTCCCTGGATAGGACTCCCATATTAAACTTCTGCCATCCAGGGCTCAGAGACCATTGTGGCAAAGGGGAAAAAAAAGACTGTTAAGAGCCTTGGGTAGTGGCAGATGACCACAAGGAAACAGAATTTTCCAGGCCTCTGGGAACTGATCCTACCAAGTTAGAACAATGGTGATAGCATGCATAAGACCCATGCAAACTCAAACCAGACAAAAACCCAGCACGAAACTGGGTAAGAAGCCCCAACCTTAGCTGAGGAACTGTTGGCAACTGATCAATCACTGCTGGCTTGAGGGAGAGTCGATCTTCTTTAAGGGAGTGACCCTAGATAGGCTAACCAGGCTCCAGTGGATAGACTTATAGCAAGGGACATCTGGGGACACAAATTTGACTTGACAGGCCTTAATATAGATGACAGAATGCATGAAATCCAGTGGGGGAGCTATGGGGTAGGTGCAGATAGGGGAGGGGGTCTAAATATGATTAAGCTATATTGTATGAAATATAGAAAATTTCAATAAAATATACATATTGTAAAAAATAACTTTATCATTCATTTTAGAAAAGAAAAATAATACTATATAGCCATGAGTCAGCACTGCTAGAAAGTTCACATTTTCCCTTGATAGTCTTGTTTTTAGTGTTTCACAACCTGTGCTAATTCTAATCGGTTTGTCTTGCTTCAAATCCTGCCAGTTTCTCTTTTTTATTATTAGAAATAGATTTAGGATGGGCAATTTGCACCCTCTGCTGTGATCAGCAACAGTGCCTAGTCTCAAAGAACCAAAGACTGGCACCTACTGCAGAAGAATAGTGCATTAGGATGGTTTGCTCCTCAAATTTATTACAAATAAAAATTCATTTGACTAACTAAACTAAGTATAATTTTGGCTTGAGAATAACTGA